AATTTGAATGTATAAAACTAATCCAATCTAATAAAATTCGAAAATAATCATATTTAAAATTAAATGGATATAACTTTTATCAAAATAAATTAAAAAATTTAAGTTATTACTGATATAAAAAACAAATAAATTATAAATCTATGGAAAAACTAATATATTTTAATAAATCAAATTCAAATAAAAATGGAATACGCTACACACAAGTTTTTGAAATAAAAAAAACTCAAAATAACTAATTCAAATTCGAAATCTCCAGTCGTATTTCATCCCACATTTTTTTTAATCATATTCTCTTAATCACATATATATAAGCCGTTTATAATTCCAAGCTTTCATCCATAGGACAATTTACTGTCCTTGATCACTCAACCAATCGAGCTATAATAATTTTAAGGGCATAAATGTGACAAAAAAAATCATAAAAATGGTTATAAAAAAAGAGATTGGATCCCATATGAAGTTCCTATCCACTGTCCATAAGACACATATCCCAACGTGGATGTTAAATGAATTGAGTCATGGGCCGATTCCCCTTTCATGTGGCGTTTTCAATGCCCTTTGCTTCATATCTCCCAACATTATCGTATTCTATCTGAAAATATTCCATCTCTTTATCATAGTCGCCATTATTTAGATTTTCTTGAAAATATTATAAACATTTTTGACAAAAAGACAGTGGAAAATAACCAACGACATCGACATCCAGCATAAAAATAATTAGTGATGCAAAATCTTATCAAATATGATTATAATGTATATAAGAAACCAAGAGATTATTACGAAAATCATATCAATTATGATGCAATAATCCATACCTTAGAATATGAGTACAAGAATTGAATATTCGTAGAAATCGAACATTAATGAAATTAGAGAATATTTTTTTTCTGATTTCAATAAATGAAAATCATGCTCTCTTAAATATTCTTTGTACCACTTTAGAAGTGACGTGATGATTTTGCTCATCATTCTTCAATTTGTTCTCCATTTTAATCTGAAAATTCTCCATGAATTTTGAAGTAAGATGAACATCTTCTTTTTTCTTCATTATTAGAGTAAGGAAAATTTTGGGGAAAAATCTATAAAAAAAACACAGAAAAGAAGAAAAAATTTGATGAGAAGATGAAAAAAATTAGGAAAACAAACAATAATAATAGTTGAACATAATTAATATTCATTAAGTTATGATGACAAAACTATTGGAATTGGGTAGTTTTAATTAAGGGTAAAATAGAGAATTATTTTAAAAAATCATCTAGAAAAATCTAAAATGACATCTATTTAGTAACAAAAAAAATTGTTTATAACATCAAATATTAAAAAATAAGGGAGTATAAAGAAATTCATTTTTCATTAATAAGATGCAAATAGAAATTACAAAAACACGCAACTTAAGAAATGGATACGTAAAAATAAAATGCATGGGGAAGAAGGAAAGGGATATTTCCAAGAGAAAGATCATCGAAAAAAAAGGTGGCCAAAATATATTAGGTGTGGTTATTAATTATTTGTTAAAATTAGAGACAATACATACGTGTGGGTGTGTAGTTTGAAAAAAAAAATCGGATGCCATTATGTGTATATATATATTTATATGTATGCACACACAACTTCTTTTTCTTAAGAGGTTACAAATTGACAGAAACAAGTCTGACGCCGACAAAAGAAAAAGAAAACGAAAAAAAAACAAGACGAGTGATTCATAATTTCATAGTCACTCGGGGTCAACCTTTACCCGAGTTCGATATTTGGATTTTTTTCTACGTTATTATTTTTTTAATGAAATGGATTTTTTGTAAAAAAAATTATAACTACTCAATTCTTATATCATTTTTGGTACAATGTTGATTTTTATTCGATTTAAATGATTTTTTTTATCTTTACTAAATTTTCAGTTAATTTTATATTATATTAATTTGATTTAATAATATAATCAGTCAATTTTTATATGAGACTTGAGAATAACATAATAAGATTCAGGTGTAGTGTTTAGCCAATTTAGGCTTGACTGGAGTAGATTCCGACTTGAGTTTGGCCAAGAATGACAGAGAATTGAATAGTTTGGTAAGATCAGATGAGAACATGACGTCGAATGATCCAAATTTAGGTGATCTAATGGTAAGAAAACATGCAAAACATGTTCTTATCCTGATTCAAACCTAAATGTGGATAAAGATATTTACTTGAACTTCTCATGTCTTCTGGAAAATATAATTGGGACAAAGATACAGTGAATTTTCATATTATAAAAAAAATATGTCGTCAAATGTTCGGATCTACAAATATTTGAGTACAATTTCGAATATCTGAACATATGAGATCGAGATGAGTAGTGAAACATGAAACCAGAGACATTCGAGTTTGGATTCGACTTTTTTAAAATCTCGGATTTAAGGTTTGTAGACATTTTTCGAATTATTTTTTTTAATAAGAATATAATTTTAAATTGATAATGTTTGAAAAGAGAAAGAATATGAGTTCCCATTGGCTAAATTTGATATATATATATAAATATGTTTGATTATAAAAGAAAATTTGTAATTTGTAATGAATGAAATTTATTATGATTAATTACATTCGGTACGCATTGATCATACGTGAAAATGATATGTGTATATATATATATATAATATGATTATAGTTATCTAATAGTATAATGAATAAAAGTTATGATTAAGAGCAAGTCATAATTCATGGTAACAAAAATAACATGCAAAAACACGCTCCATCTAGCATTTGAAACGCTGGACAGAGTTAGCACAAACGCAGCGTCTGCGTTTCGCGTTAACGATTATGCCATTTGGCATTTGAGTTCCATTTGTGGCCACCGTTCCCCCGTAGAGTTGGGCAGAGAACAGAATATATGACTTCGACACAAGGAGTATATCCGTGTACGGTCGACACATTTTTCTATAATAATTCGAATCGTTCATTAACGTTTAATTTTCGGCTAATCACAACCGTAGATTTTAAGAACGCCATAAAGCAACGGCTAAGATATAAAACCAAGACCAACCACAAAAATAAAAATTCGCCGACACACATAATAAAAGGAAGAAAATAAAATACAACTCGTGAATTTAATGTCGAATCAAAAGGATGATAACGATGCTTCGATAAAATAACAGTGCCTTTTGATAAGGCTCCACTTGGAAATTAAATCGGATGACTGTTGTTTTTTTTTAAAGTGTAGTATTCATCGTTTACTATTCTATATATATATATATATATATATGTATATATAAACATGTATTTCGTGTATATATATTGTTCGATAATTGAATACGCGTTATATAGCTTTAATTTAGTTTGTGAAACATACACAACGTGAAAATATCCATACATCATATCTTGTTTGGTGTAATGCATTTTCTTTTATAATCACACGATGAAAAACACAATTATTAACTAAATCTGATTTCTATAATTTGCAGAGGTTATAAAAATTTTTTTATTCGGTTACTGCGTTATGAATGGAAACTATATAAGTATACTGGTATGCCATGAATCTTCTTCTTCTCATCATCATCATCATCATCATCATTATTAGGGTTTAATATAGGAATTAGGAACAGTTTATGTATTTAGTGATGATGATGATGGATAATGGTTACAAACGGTCCAATTAATTTCATATATAAAATAAAGAAGCATATTTTGTTCTTCCTGTAATTATTAGAAGCATGAAGCAAATAAATAAAAAGCTTATTTTGTTTGTTTTTAATTCCATCCAATCATGGAGGATATGATTTATATGAGAACTTCAATACGAGAAATTTACCAGGGAGAGACTATTATATTATCTTGAATATGAATAATTTGTTTTTTTATTACCTTTTTATTACCATGAACCTACATTTTAAATATTGATATGATTTTTTATACGGTATGGCAGACTATTTATATCATTGATTTTGTCCAAATAATGATGCTAAAATATACATGTTTAACTTTAAATATTCAAATAAAGAATAAAAAATTCAGGAATTAAAATAAAACGAACGTACTTTTTTGTAAAAAAAAAACGAGTCTCTTTTACCGAACGAGATTGGAAAATGATTATTAATATAAGTTTCATGAATGTGTATTTTAAGAAAAACAATAGAAAAACTTTTCTTGGTAAGAGAAAAATCAAGAAAAATCAAGAAAAGGATGTATCAAAAAAAAAAAATCAAGAAAAGGAAAAAGAAAGAAGAAAAAGCCATGCATTTCTTGAATGGAATTATTACTCATGTAACATGTTCATTAAAACGACAAAACTAATTATGTCAAAATTTCCAACAACATATCTTGTTTGATTTTCTAAATTAGAAATAAGTTAACGAAATTTAACCAAATCAAATTCAATTCAATTTCAATTCTTATATAATGTTAAAAGATACACAATGACAAAGTAAACTGTAAAATACTTATGTTTCTTTACTACTCAAATTTGACTGGTTCAACTAGTAAGAGATAGATAAAAACTCCTCTCCAATTTATACTCGAATATTTATTTGGAGAGATTTATTCATATAAATTTCTCGATTTGAAGATAGAGATATAATTGGGTTGGGTTAAATAGGTTTTACCCAACCCAAGCCAATAATATAATGATCAAGTCAAAAGAGGTTAATGTATTATATTCATTACCAATATCAATAGTAATAATAATTATTTTATAAATAATATTAATTTATTAAGTTTCACAAGTAGTATACTATTATCGTTTTTATCTAAACATCAATTTAACTCTACTATATTAACCCATTTGGATGAATAGGTTTTAACCAACCTATTTGTTTTTCATCATATTTATAATGGATTGGATTGACCAATCCATAAATTTATGTAAACCAAATGGGTCGTACTATCCAATTTGACAACCATATTTGAAGATGTAGGAACGAAAATTCAATTAACTTCTCGAATTATAAAAAAAAAATGATGTTTTTTTAGTTCTATCAGATAGATTCACAAGTATTGACTCTTATTATCAACATAACACAACATTATTCAACAATAAAAAATAATAATACAACATTAGATAAATCTATAATATTTCACTGAGTAGCTACAACAAGTACATAAATCCCATCTGTTGTTGCCTTTACATCTGAACTCAGAGCTTCCGTTATGAAGGAAAGAAAACACTGAAACTACTTGCAGAGAGATGCAAGGACACGACGAGGAGGATCAAACGATCTTCTGGAATGAAGAACAGCCAAGTTATCGATGAGCAGAACATCGCCTTTTTGCCATGGAATAGCTACGCATTCCTCTTCAAGGATCCCCAGACAGTCATGAACTATATCCTCTGGTAAAGGCTGTCCATCCCCGAAAGTTATCGCCTTTTTTGGGTCATTCCGTGCATCTTTCCAGCCCGTATAAGCAGCCACCATGCTGTTGAACCATACTTTTCGGTTTCTTGACTCGTCATGTTTGATACCCGGGATTGGACCCATTATTGTTTTCAAACCATCTTTGATCCATTCCAGCTTCATTCCCAGCTTGGCTGCCCTGTTGATTTCGGTCACAATGGTTTTATCTCATCATCTTCTGTGAAACGTAATCAATAAATATTGCTAATGATTCATTAAATGTACAAAGAAGAGCTTGCTGATCATTCATCATAGCCCTTTGACCGAGAGCCTAGAAATCCCGATTTTTTTACGAGCAACTTGTCAGATGGGTCTATCTAAACATTTGCCCCGGGGTGAGGATTTCCTAAACTTAACAAGTTTTATGAAAATGCATGAATAAACGGAGAGAGTTTTAGAGATTGTGCAAAGAAATTGGTTAAAGAAATAGCTCAGAAAACAAACCTTTCCTCGGCTACATTCTTGTCCTGTGTCAAGAAGGTAGATTTCCAACCACGACCAATTGATGACGATGGATCATCTTCTTCCCCTAAAAGCCGAATGTAAACCAGGCCATGTTCCTCTAATCTCCGAACGAATTCTGGATGCTTCTCTTTCATTCTCTCATAGATAACATGACTCAGAACAACTGGAGTCTCTCCTCCATTTCCAGGCTCTACCTCACAGAAAAAGAACAACTTGGATGGAAACTCAGGAACCTGACAGACATTCATTGTTTGTTCAAAGACTTCATCAAACAACAACACATTGTTAATCTGATTCACCCTAAGTCATCCATAAAGGATGGATGCTCTCTGTCAGGTGCTAAAGATTTCACATTTGCAAGCTCATTTACATGGTTTGCAGTCACTCTAATGGCTCAGGCCTTGGTTGAGGAAACTATTTCATGATGAAACAAGTTCACCTAACACTTTTTCACTTTGAGAATTAAGAACACAGATTGAAAAGCTGAGCCATATTTTGATCAATCATCTAAAACTCCAAGAAATTTGACCATTGTTCGAGCCTAGTGATTCAGATCTAGTAATTCACCCTAATACCATGCTGAGTTGGTGAAAAGTTTCATGCTTCTAAACACACATACAGTCATACATGTATATATACACACACCTGGGCCATCTCGTGGTGAAAGGTGATCTTCTGGTCAGGCGGAGATTCGTTGGCCGTGAAGACCCTTCCGACAACGTTGGTCCGAGGGGCTGCGCCGCCGACGTACGGAAGCTCGTCAAAACCGAAAGCCTCGACGACATCGTTGAAATCTCCGGCGGAGTTCACCGGAAAACCCCTGAAGAGCACAGCCCCCGATTCGTGCAAGAGTGAATCCAGATAAGGTTTCTGGGTCTTGATCTTTTGGGTGAATAGAGGCAGCGACAAAGCTGGAATCGCCGACGGCGGCGACAGAACCGCCGGAAAAAGCTTTGAATCATACCGCTCTTGCTGCGGGATTCGAGTTTCTGAGAAGAACGACTCCGCCATTATTATTTCCTCTTTCTCGTTAATGACTCGAATCCTTGCTTATTTTTTTATACCCTTTATCGGATTCCATGGCTTCAACATGATCATTGTCCAAACCCATGGAATCCGATAAAGGGTATAAAAGTCATTTCCCTTCCCAGATATTTTTTTTATCACATCATGACTACGTTTGTGGTTACATAATACAGAGCACACACTTGCAAGGGTATAAAAGTCATTTCCAACTTCGATCATACTTTTACCGAACGATCCCATCCAAGTTCTAAAACATTACTTTTTTTTTTGGTTCTTAAACATCACTTTATTCGCTTAGTACATAACATTTTTTTTTGGTTAAAAAAAAAATTGTTTTATTTATTTAGAAACATGTTTTAGTATTTGTGGGTAACATAGAAACATGTTTTATTTATTTAGTATCTATGGATGTAACAAAAGGTCGATATATGGAGTTTTATTAAGCCGCGATTTGTGTATGGACATCGAGGGTTTCCTTAACAGCAACGACAACATGTTCCCGGCCGAGGATATTCACCTTTGCAGCAGAGACAAGCGGGGCAGAACACTACCGGATGCCCGATTTTTCGGTTTCCGGTGGCATGCTGATCTACATGAAAACGGAAATAACGTTAAGAATAATCGAGTTTCTGTAACAAAACTGCGGTTATTTACCAAATATGCAGTGATTAGTTTGATCGTTTTTCTTGCCTGTTGGTTCCAAGTTACTTCCAGTCTCATGAACATCTGCATGGCCAAAAAAAGGGAAAGACAATGAAGAGAGATTGTCCCATGAGTTCGAATAAGTAAGAATCGTTGATGATATACGAATAATTTGATGTGTATAACGATCCATTTGGAAGTTCACCGAGTTTTCGGCACAACTACATCTTTTAGAGGGGGATCTCCCCCAACTCTGTTGGTTTGAGAGCCCACTTCCTGAACAAGAGGTCGTGGGTTCAACACCCAGGGTATGGAGATTTCCCCTCCGACCACCTTCGGGTGCTTCACATCCCACACATGTGGTGTTTCAACACCCAGGGTATGGAGATTTCCCCTCCGACCACCTTCGGGTGCTTCACATCCCACACATGTGGTGTTGGTTGTGCGTGTGGGTCGGGATTAGTCTGGGCCCTTTGGGCCTGGGATTACCCGGTTATCAAAAAAAAAATACATCTTTTAGAGTACCGGAAAAAACCTAGGTGAATGTTTTTCCCGCAAGTAGAGACTCGAATTTGAATTCAGAAGGACTTTTACCCTATCCGTTTCCGGTTGAACCACCTATTTTGGGTTAATATATAAAATATTAACTAAATATACAATGCTAAACTAGATTTTATATTATAATCAGTATTTTTACCTGCATCGCATGGAAGAAACATGGTGGGAGACACAACGACGGCCAAGACGAAAAGGGTGAAGATAATGTTCTTCTTCCTAGAGCAATTTGCAACCATGGCTTTGTCTTCTCTTTTTAATATTTAAGACAAATTTGTTTATATTCAATATGGAGAGATGTGTTTTGTTTAGCATATTTATAGAAGTTGTTATATATAATTAACCCTCTTATTATTTCAATGTTCTTGATTTGTTGTTCAATTTATTTGTGACCAATGTATGTATACAAACAAGTAGCTTTGGAAGAACTTCCCTTAGAATTTTCAATCTTTTGACCTTTTAACAAATTTAAATATTTTCATAGGTTTTGGTTGAGTAGAGTATTCTTGAACCGAACCTATCAAAAGAAATCAAACCGTAATGTTAAAACTGCTTGGAGTAGAAATTCTGTCACTAGGTAATTTATTCATCATCATCATCATGTACGTTAGAGAAATCTTATATGTCATATACCATTACAAGCTCAATTTTAAGACAAACAAGTTTAATTTACTCTCAACTTAAGATGTGGGAATCGGGTAAAATGTTCATGGCCAAGCCAATGGTATACTATATAGAAGTTATAAATTATTGGTTTAGTCCGGTTTACTACTGGTTATCTAAGTCTAGTTTGGTTTCATTTTAATTTGAACGTCCGATCCGTTTAATTTTTTGTTTTGCTTTGTTTGAAACTTTGAATTGAATAAGAGAAACTTGTTTTTTTTTTTCGATAATCGGATATCATATACTAAGGTCCAGACTAATCTCAGAAATGGGATCACCCAGGGGATTTGGATTATACAATCCGTTTCTAAATTCAAGGTTCAAATTCGGGACGAGACAGACGCTTTACAATCCATTTCACAACTACCCAAGTTTAGGTATAAAAGAAACTTGTTATTACTTGAGAGACAAAGTATTCTCACTTCAATACATCCCTATTTGAAATTTGACACTATCATACGGTAACTGGCTACTTTTATTGATCGATACACGTAATAAAACATCATTTTTATTGCTGAGAGAGACAAAAGTAGATAACGTAGAAACTGTGTAATAAGTAGTCGGGATACAACGATAGATCGAGTTTCATTTTTTTTTTCAAGATGATATTACTATATATAGATACCATGCACTAATGAAAAAAAGGGTTTAATTAGCAACAACGGCAACATGTTCCAGGTGGAGGAGACTCCCCTTCACAGCACAGACAAGCTGGACAGTACACTCTCGGACTCCCTATCTTCCTGCTTCCAGTGGCATGTATGCCTGCAATTAGCTAGGGTTGATTTATTTGGTTAATAACCGAATAATCGAACCATCTGAACCGAATAACACATAATCGTAACGAACTAAATTAGATATAAAATCGAATGGTTAAAAGCCGAATATGAACCCGAATCAAACCGATAAAAAAATCGCTGAAAAACATGTAGATTTCTTAAAGAAAATGAATATTTTTATCATAACTGAACCGAACCCGAATCAAATATAATAGAATTGAATTCAATATAAAAACCGAACAGTTATGATTTTTCTAAAACCGAAATAAGCGAAACGAATCCTGAATAAGCCACCCCTAATTGCAATGACATGAAACAAAGATTTTTTCAAGAATCCAATACAATATAAACAATAATTCTTTTTTCATGATCAATCGTTTTGCCATTTCTTGCCTGTTGGTTCGGTACTTCGAGTAGCGTGAACATCTGCAAGGGGAAAGACAATGGAAATAAGGAATGTGATAGAAAAGCTTGACGATTGATTTGTTACTTGTGCTGCAAGATATACTTACTTGCACTGCAAGGAAAAAACACAACAGGAGATAAAACCATGGCTAAGACAACAATGGTTGGGATGATGTTCCTCCCAGATCTAACTGCCACCATTTTTGTTAATGTTTGGTGTGTTTTTTTTATGGTTGATTTGGTCTTAAGTTTGGTATGGATAGATGTTAACGTATTTATAGATGTTACTCGAAGAAGATATAATTTATTTAAAAAAGGAAAGAAAAAGGAAGAGGGACTTGAGGTGATGAGTTATTAGACCAAGTCTACGTTCAAATCGGTTGAATTCAATAAATTTTTTTTATTATATTATATTATTTTCCAGTTTCTGTTATCTTGATTGAACAAGATGTGTCTGTGTAGGATAAAGTCTCCATCTCTGTTGGAAAATGATAAATCTCCTCCATACGACGTGGTGGATTCAATTTCTTATGTAGTTTAAGTTTTTTTCTTGAGACGGTCAGTTTCGACTGGTTTATGTGTTCTGTGTAGAAATTTACGGAATGATGTCTTTATCCATAATCAGAATAACATATAAATAGATGAGAGTTTTACATTGAATAAGTAAACTAAATAAAATAATAAATATTTCTAAATATATATTTTTCGGATTTGATAAGATTGATATATCTCGTAATATTCTTCAAGATCTGTTATATCTCAACATCCCCCTTCAAGTTGGAGCGTGGAAGATCACGAAACGCCTAACTTGCTGAAAAGATGATCAAATGCATGCCGCTTGAACCACATCACCTTGTGAACTTGTGTCAATAAAAGACATAATTGAAAAAAAAATCAAACAAACGACTGCACTACAACTTTGGCACCACACACAAAAGAATCGTTCGATGATAATAGAAAAGACGACTATTGCGGTGCGAAAAAGAAGTCTCGCAAATAACCCTGATTCATCCGAGATTGAAAGGCAACTACACAAAAGCGTTTAGTGACAACAAATTTTTTGGCAAGAATAAGATGATTGGCGGTTATGCGAATAATCTTTAGAAACATGTAGGATTATAAGAGAAAAAAAAACAAAAATAAAATGACTCTCTTATTCTTAATAAAAAAACTTGGAATGATATTACCACTAGATAGGTATATCATCATCTTCATCTTCACTCTCATTATCGATCATCATTTTTATAAAAATGATAACAAATTAGAAAAGAATCAGGCTCTGATACCATGTAGATTTGTGAATTTGGAGTGATATTAACTAGAAAGAAGAGATGAAGACCACAAAGTAAAATAACACATCCAAATATTTTATTCAAAGGGGACAATGTCCCTTGTTCGACTTGACTTTGATCTGTACATCATATTTGAAATATATAGAAAAGGTAAAAAGATTACAACAGTTAGAACATGAAGATATAGGTAAATAAAATATTCAAATAGTAAAGCGAGGGATTTGATGTTGATTCTTCATATTTGATTACGTGTATATTGCTGAATTCATGGTTAATTTGCTTTCTTTCCTTCCTTGTAACAGCTGTAGCAATTTTCCTTTATTTCCTTACGCATGTGACAGCTCCTTTTGCCAAGTGTATATTTATGTCCTCTTTAATCAGCTCCATTAAATTGTGAGTGACTTCTGATTCAATGTTCTCATGATGCGTATGAAATCTTTGCAGTTTGGGAAGCCTCCAACTCGTTCCAAGGGTCTCTCGGTTTCTTCGTCTCCATATTGTCTTTGTCGACTCTCATTCTGCGATATATTTGAGCATGTATTCTAACATTCCCCTCAAGATTGACTTGGAGGAATTCCGAAAAGTCAATCTTGACGAGAGAAAACCTTTGTAGCTGTATGGTTCAGTTTTTAAACGTTTCAACTTCCTCCCCGGTGGTTCTTTCGGTTTTGATAGTAGAATGTGTGAGGGGACATGCAA